GCCCAACATACAAAAATCAATCAATGTAATACACAACATTAACATAATGAAGGAAAAAAACCACATGATTGTCTCAATTGTTGCAGAAAAAGCATTTTCAAAATTCAACACTTGTTCATGATAAAAACATTCAACAAATTAGGAATGGAAGGAAACTACTTCAACATAAAAAAGACCATAGTCAAAAGCCCATAGTTAACATCATACTCAAAGGTGAATAAATGAAAGTTTTCCCTCTAAGATCTGGAACAAGGCAAGGTTGCCCATTCTCTCCAAATTCTGTTCAACGTGGTACTGGAAAGGCCTTGCCAAAGCAAGTAAGCAGGAAAAAGAAATAAAATGTATTCAAATTGGAAAGGAAGAAGTAAAATTATCTCTATTTGTGGATGACATGTTCTTATATTTAGAAAACCCTAAACAGTCTACACACACAAAAAATGTTTGAACTAATAAATGAATTCAGCAATGTTATAGGACAGAAAATCAATACACGAAAATCAGTTGTATTTCTATATACGAACAATGAACAATCTGAGAAAAGAAATTAAGAAAATAATCCCAAGAAACTATCATCAAAGAGAATAAAATATTTAAAAGTAAACCTAAGCAAGAAGGCAAAAAATCTTTACAGTGAAAACTATAAAACACTGTTGTAAGAAATAAAAAACAAAAAAATGGAAAGATATTTCATGTTCGTGGATTGGAATACATAATATTGTTAATATTGTTAAAATGTCCATACTACCCAAAGTGATCAAAAGTTTCAATTCAATCCCTATTAAAATCCCAATGTCATCTCCTGCAGAAATAGAAAAAGGCATCCTAAAATTCCTATGGAATCTCAAGGGACCCTGAATTGCCAAAACAATCTTGAAAAAGAACAACAAAGTTGGAGGCTTCATGCTTTCTGATTTGAAGACATTTTACAAAGCTACAGTAATCAAAACAGTGTGGTGCAGGCATAAAGACAGACACATGGACCAATGGAACAGAATAGAGAACCCAGAAATAAACTCTCACATACATGGTCAAATGATCTTCCACAAAGGGCCAAGGCTACACAATGGTGTGAGGACAGTCTTTCAAAAGTGGTGCAAAAACTGAATATCCAAATGCAAAAGAATAAAGTTGGAACATTACGCCATACACAAAAATTAATTCAAAATGGATTAAAGACTTAAATGTAAGACATAAAACTAAAATTTCTAAAAGAAAACAGGGGGAAAGCTTCATGCCATTGTATTTGGCAATGATTTCTTGGATACGACATCAAAAGCACAGGCAACAAAAACAAAAATAGAGGAGATTACATCAAATTTAAAAACTTCTGCACATCAAAGGAAACAATAGAGTGAGAGAAGGAAACCTGTGGAATGAGAGCAAATAATTGCAAATCATATATCTGATAAGGGGTTAATATCCAAAATACATAAAGAAGACCTACAACTTAACAACTAAAAATCAAATAACATGATTAAAAAATGGGCAAAGGTTCTAAACAGACATTTCTCCAAAGAAGATACATAAAACAGCCAACAAGCATATGAAAAGATGCTCAACATCACTAATCAGTAGAGAAATGCAAACCAAAACTACAATGAGATACAACCTCACATCCATTAGGATGGCCACTCTCACAAAACAGAAAATAACAAGTGTTGACAAGGATATGGAGAAATTGGAACCCTTGTGCCCTGCTGGGAGTGTAAAATGTCGTGGTCTCTACAGAAAACAGTATGGATACTCCTCAAAAAAAGTAAAAATAGAATTACCCTATGATACAGCAATTTCAGTTCTGAGTACATATCTGAAAGACTTGAAACCAGGATCTCAAAGAGACACCTGCACATTGATGTTCACTCCAGCATTATGCACAAGAGCCACGAGATGAAAGAAGCCCAAATATCCATCAATAAATGAATGGATTAAAAAAAATGTGGTATGTACATACAATGGAATATTATTCAGCCTTAAAAAAGAAGGAAATCTTGTCACATGCTACAACATAGATGAACTCATATATGCTGAATGAAATAATCCAGTCACATAAGAACAAACACGATGTGATTTCACTTACAAGACATCTAGAGTGGTCAAAATCATGGAAACAGAAAGTAGAATGAGAGTTGCCAGGGGCTAAAAGGAGGGGGAAATGGGAGTTGCTGTTCTATGGATGTGGTTGTTTCAGTTTTACAAGATGAAAAAGATCTAGAGATCTGTTACACAACAATGTTATAATATAGTTAAACTACTGAACTGTAGAGTTAAAAATGGTAAATTTTATATTATGTATTTTATCACAATTAAAATAAAAAGAATTTTAAAAAATGTGCATCACAAAATGAAAAAAAAATCAAAATGTAGGATTTAGATTTAATTTAAAATTTGAGAATCAACTAGGTCATTGATTTTCATAGATAAACGATGAGAAATATTTTGACATTTTTTTTATAGTAAGAACTAGAAAGGATGGAAGTTAGAGATACTAGTCATAAGGGAGTAAAATAGATTAGATTATGAATGTGATCTTAACAGCAAACTGACCACAAGGGTTTTCCGCTCTTTTAGAAATTAAAATAGAAAATGTTTTAAGACAAACCTGAATGGTGGGGTTTGTTTTTAACTGGTTAATATCAAAGGACCAAGGAACAAATCTAAATAGAAGAAAAGTATTTAAAGTGTTATTGCTTGTTTATTTATTTTGATGAGGAGACAGCTAAAGTTCTAAACATTCTTTCTATATCTCTCCTGTTTTTAAAACCTAGCAAGATATAGATATGAAATTATAGTGAATACCATAATTAAAAGAAGTGAGGACATGAAAGAACAAAATTCTTGAAATTTCTAGAAATCTCTCTCATAAGAAGAAAATATGAACAAGAATAGGTAGAAATATGTCCAAAATTTGGAACTTAAAATTGGCCCTGCCCACAAGCTAATTAAAGAAGGAACAAAATTTGAAAGACTGAAGACTACCTTAAAATTTTTCTTCAAACACCACATGCCCTAATTGTACAAATCAATCTTTTCCAATCTTTAGGAATTACAGTGTTTTTCCCTTGCTTCCATACTACTTGTAGCTCTCCAAAACAAATCTTTTGGGGATGATAATATTTTCATCTTTATTCCTTAAAGTCTCTGTCATCTCCTTTGGCTAAATAAACAAGAAGAACTGGTAAGTAGTTTTGAGAAGAAATTTGACATGCACAAACACTGGAAAAGTACACAGTGGGCAGCATGCTGCTTAGTTCAGACGCAAGGATGAAAGGAAAAAAGTGGAAATTCATACTGTACAAAACAATGGAAAAATGTCAAAGCCCTATGTTTGGTTCAGGCATACCAAATAAAAAAGGCTAAAAAAAAAAAAAAGGTTTACACCAATCTTCTAATATAAGAAATAAAATAGCTCAGTTTTTACGTTATGATAAAGAAACAAAGCTGAGAAAGTGAAGTTCAGAATCAGAGAATAATTTTACATAACTGAAGGCTATAATAATAAAAAAATCTTTGGGTATGGCCAAATGAGGGTTTAGGGAGATCACTCCGTGTAAAACAAAGATAAAAACGAACTGTCAGTTGCTCAAGAAAAGAGAGAAACTAGAGCTTTAAAAGTTTAAGTAAAAAGGGGTTGGCCAGTGGCACAGCGGTTAAGTGCCCGCACTCCACTTCAGTGGCCCGGGGTTCACAGGTTCGGATCCCAGGCACGCAACAACGCACCGCTTGTCAAGCCATGCTGTGGCGGCATCCCATATAAAGTAGAGGAAGATGGGCACAGATGTTAGCCCAGGGCCAGTCTTCCTCAGCAGTAAGAGGATTGGCACTGGATGTTAACTCAGGGCTGATCTTCCTCGCAGAAAAAAAAAAAAAAAGTTAAGTAAAAACAATATAGAGATGGAGAACAGATTAGTAGTTGCCAGGGGACAGAGAGCGGGTGGAGGTAGGCAGATGGGGTAAGGTTGAAACTATAAAAGGGCAGCACGAGGGCGCCCCTTTATGGTGACGAAACAGTTCTATATCTTGACTGTGGGTGAGGTTACATATACCTATACATGTGATCAAATTATGTAGAACCATATGAACACATATACAATGAATTCATGTAAAAACCGTGAAAACTGATAAGGTCTATAAGCTACCTAATAGAATTGTACCCATTTCTTGGTTTTGATATTATACTGCAGTTATGTAAGATTTCACCACTGGGAGAAGCTGGGTGAAGGGTTCTACGTCTGTGTACGATTGTTGCAATTTCCTGTGTGTCTATAATTATTTCAAACTAAATTTTCTTTAAAAGTCAAGTAAAGAAGATATGAAAATGAACCAAGACAGAAAAATCCTATATGAATAATGATTACTATTGAAATAATTATTACTGCCAATTACTATGTAACAGACAATGGAGCTAACAAGACACAAAGAAATGTAACTTGCTAAAACGGAAAAAAAAATCCAGAGGAAAAGAAAGAAATTCAACTAAAAACTATAATGCAATATACAAGTGATATATTAAAAATATGTATTACAGAATAACTAAGGAAACAACAAAAAGCAAAAGCTAGACTACAGACTTGAGATTGTGCTATGCTACGATGTTTGGACTTAACTACGTTGGAAAAGAAAGGAGAACAGTGGAATACTAAAATACTTTGGAGGAACTGATACAGAGACTAGACTAGCAAGAATATTGAAAAAAAAAGAAATATGGTTAAGACAAATCCCAAAAACACAATTTTAAAGATGGATAGAAAATACAGCTTCAAGAATACCATAACATAAAATAGATTAATATAAGTGTTGATATATGAAAACAGTAACTGAGGATTAGAAAAGGGTTAATAATTAGTTCTAGAGCTGCAGCTCCAGAGACAACATAGAGGAACTGCATAGTATGAAAGCAAATTTCAGACATATATAATAAAGGAAGTTTCCTCCTAACTTAGCATTTCCTAAGACTATCACTTAGAGCTAAATATTAATTATGCAAGAATAGAAATTCTTACTTCTTGTCTTTTCTTAAGATCTTCTTTGGCTGCTCCGAAGCGTTTGGTTAACCTGGCTATCTTGGCCTAAAAAAAGCAAAAACGAAATGGAAATCAAGCGGAATTATGGCATTAAGAAGGAACCCATGCATACATAACAAGCAACTCACAGATAACATGATCCTCAGAAGACAGCTAACAGCAAATAAGGGAAATTGATTAACAACATATATTTGGAAAATACAGAAAATCAATGAAAACTAAAATGACCCTTGAACTCAACCCTCAGAGGTAAACACTCAATTTTAGAAGGTTAGCTTTTTCCTCCTAGAACTGTGGACGCTTGCTCACAAACCAGGATATTTCTGATTATGTAATCTTTTGTTTTTTGTTATTTTTTAGTTAGTAGTTTATAGTTGTACCCACACAATTTTCCCACTGAGAATTATGAGTAAGCACATCTGTAAGTCATAAAAGATCCCTTGCCAATACTACTTATGGGCATATAGACTATACTGAATCATCATTTATACACTCTTTCCTAGTGGATATGTTCAACGTTTCTCAATGTACTGCTATAGTCAAATAACATTGCAATTAATAATTTTGTTCTTTCAGATTATTTCCTTAGGCAACATTCACAGACATGGAATTTCTGAGACAGTATATTTTCAAGGCTCTTATGCTTTTCAGAAAGGCTTTGCTAATTTACACTTTGAACAGCAGTGTATATCCATACTCATATTATTCTTTGAAACATTTTAATTTCATATTCTGTTAATCTTTAATAATCTGACAAAAATATTACCTTGTTAGTGTTAACATTTAACAGTGAAATTATTTTATTAATGATTTGTACTGCTTATATAAACTCCCTGATTACATATTTTGCCCAAATACATATTCATAGAAAATTTAACAAAAAAAGGCAGAAAAGAAAAAGAAATAGAAAAATTATCACAGCACCACATAAATATATTTTTTGCATTTCCTTTAAGTCTTTTACTAAGGCATAGAAGTGATAATTGTTTTTGTGGTCATTACTGCTGCTGCCATTTTATTTTATTATTATTTTTTTGTGTGTGAGGAAGATCAGCCCTGAGCTAACATCCATGCCAATCCTCCTCTTTTTGCTGAGGAAGACTGGCCCTGAGCTAACATCTGTGCCAATCTTCCTCCACTGTTTGTGGGACACCGCCACAGCATGGCCTAACAAGCGGTGCATCGGTGCACGCCGGGGCCGCCAGCAGCGGAGCGCGTGCACTTAAGCGCTACACCGTGAGGCCTGCCCCATTGCTGCTGCCATTTTATGTTAAACATATTTGCAAGAATTTTAAATAAAACTTCTGAGTAGGTTCATGAGGCCTGCCTAAGGAAGAGCTCCTCCAGAGAATTTCCTTTATCCAATGTAAGCATATCATAAAAAGAAAATGATATTACTTATTTTTAAAGTTTCTTTCAGAAAGTAGTCACTTTTAAAGGAGACCCCAAAACTTACAAAGCATTTAAGTCCATTGATATGGCCTAGGCAATCAATCACCTATGAATCCCAAGACGAAAATTTTCCTCAAGACTAGTTATTTATGCACATTACTAACAACCAAAGACATACGGTATAATTTTATATTCTTAATATGGATTTACCTCTCTGTGACTAAAATATTCCAAGTAATTTTTTTCAAGAAAGGTATACGGGAAGGTGTTTTCTGTACCCCAACTTATGCAAGAATATCTTTCATTTTTTTCTTTAGTCAGCTTGTTTGGTGGGTATTCTGTAAATTGCATAGTATGTATAGTATTATTATACCATTTTTTCTGAAAAATGAAAACAAATTAAAAAACCCTTTTCTATATGTTATATGTATGGGGAAAGGTCTAGAAGGATAAATACCAAAGTTAAAACTGGTTACCTCTAGAGGTTAGGATTGGCAGGTAGTGAGGGAAAATTTAATACTTTTAAAAAAGAATTTTATCACACTAGCAGGAAAAGAAAACCAAAATTTGGACACTGGCTGTCTTCTGTCATTTAATATTATAAAAAGAAATCAATGAGCAGCCTTTTTTAGGGTTGTTTCAATCTAGGAAACTATACGATTTTTTTTTTTTAATTGCAGTTCAAAATATCTGCCATAATGGGTCTAATATTGGGTCTCTATTTTGGCAAGCATCCTGTGAGATTTTTTAAAAACTCTATAAACAAGTCAGTTTTTTTCAGTTCAGGAAAGTTGTAATCTATTACTACGTCTTTGATTACTACTTCTAATTCATTTGCTCTTGATTTCTTCCTTACGCATACCTATAATTTCTTATGTATAATGGCATAATGGTAGCTGTTTAAATATAAGTCGCACAAATTGTTGGGATTCAGACACAGTGGGCCTTGTTTAGCAAACTAGGCAAACCAGGAATTTCTTTGCTTCTGTACCAAGGAATTTCTTTGGAAAATAATTCTGTCTGAAAAAGTTGGTCACGCATCAAGTTTGACCTAATAACAAAATATCAGGACTCTAAAAAGCTAGTGAATAAATAAACACATGGTATCCATTATTCAAAACTATCTCTTGGATTAGGCAGTCACAGATTTACTTGTTGTCGGGGCAGGAAGAGGAGGCACCGAAAGGACAGAGTGAAAAAGGTATTTTCAGTTAAAACTACTTAAAATAGCATTTTATAAATCATAACCAATGGAACATTGTATTCCAGGGCGTGTTGACAGCTTTTCCATTTCCATAAAAAATCCAGTTGAAATTTTGAGTGCTCTGAATTTGTACAGTAATTTGAGAGAAATCAAGTCTTTCTATCTAGGAACATGGTATATCACTGTTGACTCATGTTTCCTAAATTTTCTGTCCTTTTTCTTCACAACAGTCTTGAAATTTTCTTTTTAGGTTTATTCTTAAGGACTTATTTATTTTTAAATATCCACCATACATGAAATCTTTTCCTCATTATATTTTCTCATTGGTTGTTGGTGAAGCATAGGATAGCTACTAGAATATGTTTTCCTTTTATTAGACAGTTGCGAAATTTCCTGCTCTTTTCAACAGTTTGCCAACTTAATTCTATTGGGTTTCCATTTACCGACCATTACTCCTCATTTCCTTTTCCTGTCTTTATTTTATTGTCCAGACTGCCACAAAAGCTCTAAATAGGAACACTGATAACAGACATCTTTGTCCTATTCTCAACTTTAATGGAAATATTTCCAATGATCCACTATTAAACATGATATTTACAATAGGTTTCTGATAATCTTTGGGCTCAAGGTACGTCCCCCTCTTTTTTTCCAGGAATGGCTGGTAAATTTTAGCAAATCCTCCTTATTTGGTATCTACTGAGATGATCACACTGTTTTACACCATTCGTCTGCTGGTATAGTGAAACATAATTGTTAATATTGAACCAGTCTTGCACTCATGACAGAAACATATGTTGGGAATTAAAACTGGCCTATATTTGTGCTTTGCTTGTGCTACAGAATTCTACACTTGGGCTTGCTTCATAAAATGAGGCCTCATCTTTTCCTACACTCTGGAACAATTTATATGAGATGTGAATTATCTGTTCTTTAAATGTTTGTCAAAAATTTCTGGCAAAGCTTTCTTTCAATTTTAATAGAGTTCCTCATAATTTTAGGCTTTCTAGTTCCTCCCTACTTCCATCTTAAATAAAATGAATTTCCTAGGTATAAGGCTGTATATATAATGCTCTCTTACTTAAGAATCTCCTCTGGATTTTCAATTGTCTCCTTTTTGAATCCTTATGTAGTTTATTTGTACTTACTCATTATTTCTAGATCAAAAATTTATCTACTTTTAAGTCTTCTCAAAAGAATAAGCTTTTATTTTTATTGCTCAATCTTCTAAAAGAGTTGGGTGTTTCTGCTATTTTTATTAACTCCTTCCTCCTTCCTGGGGTTTAGTTTGTTTTGATGTTTTATCCTAGCATAGGAGATGAACATATAATGTTCTTCTACTTTTCTATTTGTCAGTGGTAAATTTAAGGCTATAAATTTCCCTTTTAATACTGCTTTGGCTTTAACTTACAGGTTTTGATATGTAGTGCTTTCATTACAGTTCTGATCTAAATAGTAGAGAATTTCCATTTTTACTTCTCTTTGCAATTATCTGAAAGTATGTTTTGGGGGGAGGTATGGTCTTGAAGGAGTAGAAAAGCTAAATATTTGTTGATAATTTCTAATTTTACTATGCAGTTACCATTGAATCCACAGCAAATGATGATTCCTAGCATTTTAAGACTTTCTTAGAAGTTACTACAGTTCTAATCTGACAATGCATCAAAGATATATAAACCTAAAAATTATACATCTTTCTACTTAAAAATAATAAACATCATGGAAATAACCATTGGGATTTACCTTACAATTTGACATCTCTGAAAAAGTGAAAATACATAAAACTTTTTCATGATTCAGAAAGCAACCAATCCCTAAACTAATACAGAAAATTATTACATAACTAATTCTACATATATTCCAATGCTGACAATCATTTTCAGCTCTTATAAAATATCTATTTAGTACACAGAAAAGGAGCTAATAATTAAAAACAGGCTTTAAAAAAAGTGTGTGGACAAAAGTCATATCACACAGTGAACCAATTATACTATTAAAAACTTAAAAATGACTTTAAATAATCCCAAACTAGCCCATTTTAAAAATACATAATAAAGACAACTAATTTGAAAATCCACAAAAGTTTAATTTCCCGTATCTACAGAGAAATGTATACCTTCAAAATTATAGCAGAATAGAGACCTTCATGAACTTTCCTCTAAAGTCTGTATTACTCAATTCTATTCTCTCACGAAATTTTTTAATGTACAGGCAGGCATATCTCAGAGATACCACAGATTCAGTTCCAGACCACTGCAATAAAGCGAATATCGCAATAAAGCAAGTCACTCAAATTTTTTGGTTTCCCAGTGCATATAAAAATTATGTTTACACTATGCTGTAGTCTATTAAGTGTGCAATAGCATTATGTCTAAAAAAATGTATATACCTTAATTAAAAAGTGCTTTATCACTAAAAAATGCTAACCATTGTCTGAGCCTTCAGTGAGTCC